ACTACAGGTACACACAACCACGCCTGGCTAATTTTTCTATTGTTTTGTAGAGATGGGTGTTTCCTATTGTTCAGGCTGGTCTCAAACTCCTGGCCCCAAGCAATCCTCCCACTTTGGCCTCTCAAAGTGCTAGGATTACAGGCGTGAGCCACCAGGGCCCATTGATTAATATCAATTAATTGATATTAATTTATATACAGAGCATCAAGCTAGCAAGGAGACATAGTTCAGACTCCTTAAAACTGAAAAATTTCTGCTGAGTTCTCAAAGTTCAAGATCGAATTTAACCTAGAACACGATTGCACTAGGTGTCATTAGGGGCACCAAAGAGTACAGAATGTTCTCCCCTTTATAATGATACATATATTTTGACTTTTCACTTCCATTAATCTCATTTAAAGATAGGGAACCACCTGTGGGATGGGACCATGTGGTGCTGCCATTTTGCAGATTCTGTGAATTGCAGGGGAGAATGGATAGCGTTGAGTAGGGATGGTTTCCAAATAATCGCTGAAGTCATTTGTTGAAAGTTAGGGGGAAGAGAGCAGCAGGAAGGTTGGAGTCTGGAAGGTGGGTGTGCATCGTCGAGGTCTCCCCGAGTACCAGATCGCAGGGTCTCCACCTTTTGCATGCTGGAAGGCTACCAAACAGAGCTCGTGGCCAGGCACAGTGGCTCACACCTGTAATTCTAGCACTTTGGGAGATCAGCGGCAGGAGGATCACTTAAGGCCAGTCGGGCGTGATGGTGCTCACCTGTAGTCCCAACCACTACGGAGGCAGAATCAAGAGGATCCCTTGAGCCCAGGAGTTTGAGATTGCAGTGAGCTGTGATGACGCCACTGCACTCCAGCCCAGGCAACAGAGCAAGACCCTATGTCAAAAAAATAATAATAATAAAAAAAGGCGTACGTGCTAAATGTTCCAGGAGTTTATATTCCTTCTTCAACTCACCGCTAAATCCCATTTACCCAGAATTGGAAATAACAAATATCAGTCAAACCACCAAGCCTCTCCTGATTGTGCCAGTTGCCACAGTTAATGAAGTTCATGAAAAACGTCAGCCCCAGGGCATTTCGCTGACATCTGTCACCACGTCAGCTCGGCCCGTGTGCACAGCACGCATTGCAATTGCACGCTTGGCTCGGGAAGGAGAGGCAACGGCCCCTCTCCAGCGACAGACAGCCACTGCCATCTTGTGGCCACACAGGCACAGCCGGGCCGTTCTAGACAAATTCTACAAAAGAAAACATTTCCTGACTCGAAAGATGGAAACTTAGTAGAATAAGAAATGCAAAAGCAATCCTCAAATGAAACGAAAAGATTCAGGCAGTCCACAGTGCAAGACTGGCTCGTGCTGTAACACATTTGCCTTACACTGTAGGTGGTTGTTTGGAACTCGAGATACAGTTTCCTCCAGAAGAACCCCGTAGGGTGAAGAGCGCCCACAGCTCGCCCCCAACCCGTTTGCCCTGCCCCGCCCTCGCTCCCCACGCTATGCCAGCCACGCCCCACGGCCACTTGCAAGCTGTCCTCTGCCAGAACGCGCCTCGGGCTTCAGGATGGCATCTTGCCTTGCTCTGGAACAAAACCAGTTCCCACCTCTGGCCCCTGAAACTAGAGAATTCCCCGATAGACATTTTGTCAGTGACACGGGTCCTTATGCAGACCCTGTGCCCGAGCCTCCTGGGCCCCAAAGAGACGGATGCCCCCAGACACTCCTCAACTCTGTGCTAAAGAGGAGGAAGGTGGCTACTGAGACACTCCACTGACATTTGTCAAACTCTTATTAAGACCTCTTAAGTGTCACTCTCCGTGCTGAGGGCTGGAAATACAGGGAACCATAGAACCTGATCTCTGCCCCCAGGAAGTCACAGCCCAGTGGGAAAAAGAGTTACGTAAGTCCAAGTTTACTGTGTATCGTGCTGAGCTCCGCGAGATGGATGATAATAGTATTATAGAATGAATGCTACGTGCTGAGCTCTGTCCTTCTTTTATAAGCTTTTACATCGTTCTTGTTACATGACAGCTGCTGTCTTAACCACTTGCAAACATTAGCCCACTAATCGTCCCATCAGATAGGTGCTATTGTCGCCCTGTTTTTGCAGATGGTTAAGAACGGCTAGCAAGCTGCAGAGCTGGGACAAGAACCCAGGCAGTCTGTAGTAATGTAATGGGAAGACAAGAAAATAATGCCCGTGTCATGCCAGCTCTGCAAGGCGGGTCTGTTGTGCCCGCCTGACAGATGGGGCACCCAAGGCTCGCTGGCATCCCAACTGCGAAGTGTGGCTTCAGATACCAGAGGAGCAGAGGAGATGGAGCTAAACCAGAGCAGGGGGTGGAGATGGCTTCCCAGAGGGGACCATTCTTGAGGTGTGTGCGACGTACACACTGGAGAAGGGCATTCTTGGCAGAGGGAACAGCAAGCGTCAAGATACAAAGACTTTACAAGCCTGATGCAGAACTGTATGTGACTCACCGAGACAGGAAGTGACACAAGGGCAGGGGACAGGAGGTGAGGCAGTAGCCAGTGCTGAGCTGAGTCCTTGCAATTCCCCTGACAGCAGTTGGGGTCATGGAATTATTTTGAGTACGAAGTGCCATCATCAGATTTGGAGACAGCTTGGAGGGAGGCCAGGTCGTTAGGTGGACTAATTAGGAGGCTATTGCAATAACCAAGGCAATAAATCTCAACTAAGGCACTGGCCCTTGGGATAGAGAAGAAAAATTCACATCCCCAATGCATTGGAGATCCATTCCTTTACACAGCTATTTGTGTTCATGATCCATCAGCCCAGGACACCCCATCATCTACACAGAAAGCTCCATCCCTTTAGGATGGCAAACGAGACCCTGTTCCGTCTGGACCCACCTCCCTTGCAGCAGGTACTTACCTTGGGGAGTGTGGGCAGGTGGCCCCGGACACCTGTCTGCTCACCAACCCCCATGGGCGATGATCCGGACTCCCCTGTGCCCTTGAAAACACTGTTTCAGGGTCTCCCCCAGCTGCAGACCCTCCTTCCTCCTCCCGACTCGCTCCTCCCACTCCTCACACCAGCGCTTGCACCTGTGTGAGTCACCCGGGAATGTCGCTCAAAACGCAGATCCTGATTCAGTGGTTCGGTGGGCTGGGGGTGCCCAAGAGTTGAAGGAGATCCCAGCTGGTCTGCAGGCTGCCTTCGAGCAGCAAGACCTCATACATTTCCTTTACTAAACTTCGAATTCTATCCATCTCACGCTTGCACGGCCCTCTGCAAAACGCCCCTTACAGAGCTCATCTCCTCTTCACGATGGCCCTATGACAAGGCAGGTGCCACTGTTCCCCCTTCATGGCTATGAAAACTGAGGCTCAGAGAGGTTGACTTTGGAGGTGACACACTGGTCAGCTTCAAACAGAGGCTTTAGCTCCGAGGAAGGCTGTCGCCTCCACCCCACAGCTGCTCCCAGGAATGCTCGTGTGGTCCGCGGCCAGCCGGGTGGCAGGATTCACAGGGTGCTCTCCCCAGGAGCCCAGACACCAGCCTGTGCGTGAGCCTTGGGCCTGGGTGACAGGAACAGGTCACCTGTGCTTTGACAATCCACAGCCTCCTGAGAGGTGAATCTCAGGCCCCTGGCATTGTCCTCGCTAAGAAGTGTCTTCCCTCCCCCCCCTTTTTTTTTTGAGACAGAGTCTCACTTTGTTGCTGGGCTAGGGTGCTGTGGCCTCAGCCTAGCTCACAGCAACCTCAAACTCCTGGGCTCAAGCGATCCTCCTGCCTCAGCCTCCCGAGTAGCTGGGACTACAGGCATGCGCCACCATGCCCGGCTAATTTTTTCTATATATTTTTAGCTGTTCAAGTAATTTCTTTCTATTTTTAGTAGAGTCAGGGTCTCACTCTTGCTCAGACTGGTCTCAAACTGCTGAGCTCAAATGATCCACCCGCCTCCGCCTCCCAGAGTGCTAGGATTACAGGCGTGAGCCACCGGCCCCGCCTAAGAAGTGTCTTTCCCACACCCCCGGGGTTAGAGTCTCCAGCCCTGACCAGCCCCAGCCCCCGCCCAGAATGGCTGCACTAACCGCCGCACACCCTCACGTGTGTTTTAGCATCTGCTTCCTGCTCCTGCACCATGAAAATCCTGCTCTGTGACCTGCTGCTGCTCAGCGTCTTCTCCAGCGTGTTCAGCAGCTGCCAGAGGGACTGTCTCACCTGCCGGGAGCAGCTCCGCCCAGCCCTGGACAGCTTCAACCTGGAGGTAGGTTCCCGGGCCGGAGGGGTCTCGCCGTCCAGAGCGGGCTCTGAGTGGGAAACTGAGGCCTCCCCCAGAGGTCGCAGGACTTGCCCAGTGTCACGTGGCTGGGAAGAGGCAGAGCAGACTTGAGCTGCATCCTCCATCTAGGAACCTGTGACCTTTCCACCTTCCCACCTGCAAATAAAGCCCTGCGTGTGCAGCATGTTGTTCCCAGGATGAGAAGAAAGCATGCTCATTTTAGAGCATTTGGCAAATTCAGAAAAGTGTAAAAAAAGAAAAAATTAAAATCACCTTTAACCTCACCAGTCAGAGAAAGAATCCTACTTTTTTTCACTTATTATATTATCCCAGGATAATGGTCTCATGTTATTAAACATGATATTATTTCTTTCTATGAATACAGTAAACAGCCCTCTGTTTCTATGGGTTCCACATCCACCAAGGTCAACCTTGGTGGAACCCCAAGGTCAACCAACCAAGGATCAAAAATATTCGGAAAACAAAAACAATAAAAAATAACAATACAGCAATAAAAATAATACAACTTAGAAAATAACAATTTACAAAGTATTAGGTATTATAAGTAATCTAGAGATGATTTAAACTATACTGGAGGATGTGCATAGGTTCTGTGCAAATACCACGGCATTGGTCAGGTGCAGCGGCTCACGACTGTAATCCTAGCACTCTGGGAGGCCGAGGCGGGCGGATTGCTTGAGGTCAGTAGTTCGAAACCAGCCTGAGCAAGAGCAAGACCCCGTCTCTACTAAAAATAGAAAGAAATTAATTGACCAACTAAAAATATACATACAAAAAATTAGCCAGGCATGGTGGCACATGCCTGTAGTCCCAGCTACTTGGGAGGCTGAGGCAGGAGGATGGCTTGAGCCCAGGAGTTTGAGGTTGCTGTGAGCTAGGCTGATGCCACGGCACTCACTCTAGCCTGGGAAACAAAGTGAGACTCTGTCTCTAAAAAGAATAAAAAATAGAAAAAAATAAAAAATAAAATACCACGGCATTTTATATCAGGGACTTGAGCACCTGCAGATCTGGGTGACCTGGGGTCGCTGGAAGGAATTCCCCACATATACCGAGGGAAGACTATAATTTCTGAAACCATGTCCCTCCTGTTGAACATGTATTTTGCCCTCCATTTTTGATATTGCAGATAATTCTACAATGAACATCCCAATACCAAAATGCTCTCTCATATTTTATTTTATTATTATTATTATTATTGAGACAGAGTCTCACTCTGTTGCCCAGGCTAGAGTGCCATGGCATCAGCCTAGCTCACAGCAACCTCAAACTCCTGGGCTCAAGCGATCCTGCTGCCTCAGCCTCCTGAGTAGCTGGGACTATAGGCATGCACCACCATGCCCGGCTAATTTTTTCTATATATTTTTAGTTGGCCAATTAATTCCTTTCTATTTCTGGTAGAGACTGGGTCTCACTCTTGCTCAGGCTGGTTTCGAACTCCTGACTTTGAGGGATCCACCTGCCTCGGCCTCTCAGAGTGCTAGGATTACAGGTGTGAGCCACTGAGCCTGGCCTCATATTTTATTTTATTATAGTATGTTTTATTTTTTTAGAGATAGGGGCTCACTTTGCTGCCCAGGCTAGAGTACAGTGGTGTAATACCAGTAATAACTGCCCCACCGTGAAGAGCTTCCCCAGGTAGCCCGTTGGAAGTTTATGCATCCAATGGGCTAAAATGGATGTCTTCCTCATCCATCGCGGTTTTCTCTGAGCCCCTGCCCTGCCGAGGATTCCCTCCTTCGGGAACCCCTTCCACTCCTGGCTCACCCGGCTTCATCCTCTTCCCCCTCCGATGACACTTTTGCTGCCGCCCCTCTGTGTTGGCTCCTCGTCCTCTCCCCACCTGCTAAACACAAGGGATTGCCAAGATCCCAGCTTCTCACCTCCGGTCCTCTCTCCGCCTGGGATCCACCCGCACACCCCAGGCCTTGGGCTCTCCCCAGGCTGCAGGCAGCTTCCAAAGGAGCACATGCACCTGTCCCCGCCTGTCCCCTGGGCTCCAGAGCCAGGTTCCCCATCAGGTCCTACAGTGCCGGGAAACCCTGCCTTCCCTTCCCGCCCTGCCATTGCCCACGCGCCTCCCCCTCCTCCCCTTCCACAAAGCCCAGATGAAGTTCCCCGCCCACAAGAGAATACTTGGCTGACTCTCCACCCACCAGTTGGTCGTGCCCCTCCCCCTCCTTTGTGTTCTGATTGTCATCTGTATCTGCAGCTCTATCCCTGGCCGTGAGGTGTGAGCCTCCTTTGCTGATGGCTCTGGGGGCCGCAGCACATGGCACAGTGTGTGGCAAAGAGCAGGGCTCAGGACACATGCCCGTGGAAACTATACTTAGTAACCTCTAATCTCCTAATAGACATGCCTGCTCTGCAGCCACTGTAGAGTTTCTACATTTGAGTCTTTCAGAGACAGTAAAGAATTTGCTTAGCCGGATATGGTGGCGCATGCCTGTAGTCCCAGCTACTTGGGAGGCTGAGGCAGGAGGATCGCTTGAGCCCAGGAGTTTGAGGTTGCTGTGAGCTAGGCTGACGCCACGGCACTCTAGCCCGGGCAACAGAGCAAGACTCTGCCTCAAAAAAAAAAAAAATTAAAAAATTTGGCACATGCTTCCATCTCTCCACTACATCTTAAATCTCTGGGGTCTAGACAACACTATCGGCTCTACTTCTTTGAAACAAGTCAGCAAATGGACCCGTAACACCTCCCCATCAGGGATCACCCGTCACAGTGTCCAGTGACCCCTAGAGGACGGGGCTGCCTGCTTGTTTTCGTTTCTAGTCTGTGTTCACTTTTATTCTATTTTTAAGTTTAATGAAATGCCTAGAAAGGCAATCACAGGCAATCACATCCCATTTCCAAATCTGGCAGCGCTGGAGTATGTCCCTTCTGTGAATGGTGGGAGGACTCATATTCTGTCACTCAGCCAGGGCCACTGCCCCGTCCTCCACCAGTCCCGAGCTGTTCCCAGGATCCACTGGACTCTTGGCAGCATCAAGAAATGTTTTATTTCTACTCCTGGTTGATGGTCCAAGCATGGCTAGCTTTTTGGTTTTGTCGTGAGACCATAATTGTGGTTAGTCAATGACTCACCCACCCAAACCCATCGCAATGTCCTGTCCTTTCGCCCAATCAATCGTGAGCGTTACTCACCCCATCCGCTCAGGCAGGAAAAACTAGATGCACTGAGTTGTTTTAGAGCAAATAAGGCAACCAAAGAAAGAGTCTGGGGAAATGTATTTAAGTGACTTCTTAAAAGCCTATAGCCAAAGAAACTACCTTCTGATGTTCTTCCTATCTTCATTAAATGAAAGCGCTGAGTGGGCGATGCACGGCAGAGGCTCCTTGCCTGTTTGTCTTCTGTGCCCCTCGTCCACTGGCCTCCTGCTGTCGGCCCTCGGATATCCCTCCCGGCAGGGCCTCCTAGAGCAAATCACCCCCAGAGTCCGCTCAACAGCAGTGGTTTCACTCTCTTTGCTGGCAGAAACTTCACCGCCACAGGGAGCTGCTGTTTCCCCTCCAGTGAGCTCACGCACCTGTTTTGCACTTTGTACCCTAATCTGTGAGCCCAGGCGTCCAAATGGCCCTTTGCTCACCGCCCCCACCAGCCCAGCTTTACGGATCAATTTGGCGCCAATCTGAGAGTCCAGATGCTCGTCTACACTCTGGCTTAATATAGCAGCGCCACCGGCACAGGCTGCCAAACTGTGTCCGGCTCACTTAATAAGCCATTAACCCATCTCTGGAAAGAGGCTGGCGAGTCCCCGAGACCAGAGGGTCAGGCATTAAACTCATATGCCCATCTGGTGCTACAAACGCTGTTGTGAATTTGGATCCTTCCTATCTGCCCAAAACCTTCTCCTAAATCAAGAGCTGGGACAACTTTGTCAGTATCTAATTTATCTAGCAGCGCGTCAAGTCTAGGTAGAGACTGCGGCATCTGGTTTGATCGCGGAATTTCGTTTTCTCTGATTGACACAAAATCTAATTACCATCTGGGCTTAGAAACCCAGGGGCCCACAGAAGATGTAATAGCCTCTAGGTTTAACAACTCTTCCACCTGTTTCTGTAAACTGAGAGGAGCAGAACAAGGCAACAAGCATTTAGGGGCTTCTACACAGTGAGGATTGGACCACGTGCGTTCAAATGTCCGCTGCAGCTCCAAAGTTCCACGCTCTGCGGGCTTTCTCTGTGCTGTCCACGACTCCCTGCATTCCTGTTGACTTTGTAAAGCAGGGTTCCTCAAAGCTGCCGCATTTATGGACATTTTGGTCTGGTAATTGTGTGTTGGGGGCTGTTGTCTTGTGTGCTGTGGGAAGTTTCCTAGCATCCCTGGCCTCTAGGTACCATTAACACACACACACACACACACGCGTTCAATGTCTCCGGACAGAGCCAAATATCCCCTGGTGGGGGGGGGGCTTAAAATCGCTCCCAGCTGAGATCAACTGCTGTAGCATAATAACTCAATAGGATTATGATCTGAAAGAGGGTACTGCAGATTGATTCTATCTGGTTTTCTTCAAAGTATCTCAGGGGCAGGCTAAGTACAGGCCCAAGGCATTCTTTCTCTACAGGAGTCTTTAACCACTCTGCTCCACGATGGCTTCCTCCTGCCCCGAGCAAGTTCTCAAGCACAGTCCAGCCTCAGAATCACCTGGGGTGCTGGCTAAAAATGCAAATCTCTGGGCCCCACCCTTGACTTAGTGGATCGGAATCCCCAGGGGCGTGGGCTAAGAATTTGCATTCTAACAAATTCCAGTAGCCATTCTTAACAGAACCCTCCAGAAGTGTGTGACTTCATTGTTCTGTGGAAGCTGCCCATCCGTGGTTTTTTCATAACCAATGATATTGTATCTATGTCTCCATACTGAGTTTGCAGTGACCATGTGTTTGTTCTGCCAGTAACTAGGGTCAATCTGTTAAGCATCTCTGAACAAAAGCTAAATGAAAAAGGCACACTCAGAAAAATCATGGCAGGCCAAGGAGGAAGGATTGCCTGAGGCCAGATGTTCAAGACCAGCCTGGGCAACATAGTGAGACCCCCTATCTCTAAATAAAATTTTTTCAATTAGCCAGGTGTGGTGGCACATGCTTATAGTCCTAGTTACCTGGGAGACTGAAGCAGGAAGATCCATTGAGCCCAGAAGTTCAAGACTACTGTAAGCTGTGATTGTACCACTGCACTCCAGCCTAGGAGACAGAGAGAGACTCTGTCTCTTAGATAGATAGATAGATAGATAGATAGATAGATAGATAGATAGATAGATAGATAGATAGATAGATAGATAAAAAGAAACCCAATGACTTGAGTATCAGTTGGGGCCAACATCACCACCTGTGGCTAACAGATGGGCTGAGACGGGTTGCTCCTTGGAAACCTTATTAGGGAAGGAAAGGTGCACTCTGCTTGGACGTGGTCTCTCTCCTCCCGAGTTCAGTGGGAAATGAGCACTGTTGCCATCAGAACCCTCCTCTTGGTCTCATAGAATCCTTATTCTTGCATTAATTGCCACCAATTCATATTGCAAGTGCACAGAGGTAACGGAGTAGGAGATGTCCTGGATTAGGCCTCAGAGACATTTTTGAGTTCTCGTTCAAGTTATACTATTACCTAACCGTGTCATTTTGGGCACATTACTGAACCTCATCATAACATGAGAAGATTGAATTACATTAGTGATTTGCAAACCAGGGCAAATATCAGAATTACCTTACCTCTGTAAACTTAAGTTTTTAATTCCTTTGTAAAAACTAGTTTTAATCCCTGGTTGTATTCTTCAGAGATTTAACAGAGCCTTGAAATTCTGTATTTTTAAAACCTCTGCCTATGATTTGGACTCACACTCAGGTGTGGGACCCACTGGACCAGGTGTCGCCTGAGCTCCCACCTAGTGTTAGCGTTCTGTGACATGCTTTGCTGACACCCCAGGGAGTGGGGTGGCCCCCCAGGGTGGACATCGGGTGAGGTCAGCAGCAGATGCCCTCCTTCCTCCTGCTGACTCACTCCCTTTCACATCCTCACTCCTGGGCTTACCTTTGTATCCAGGTATTAACATTAGGTGCCTGGAAGTTGTACAGCCTCTTCCTACAGGACAAGCCCAAGGAAAAGATCTCAGCCTGGAGTCCACAGAGGGATAGGCTGGCCCAGGGATAGGCTTTAGAAGACCTACAAACCCTCCCAAACCGTGTGCAAATTTGACATGTGCGTGCTCACAGGGTGAGAGGGTGGGTCCATAGCCTTTGTTGGAGTCTTGAAAGAGTCCATGACCCACAAAAGGTTAAGAATCCTGTTCTAGGCCGGGCACAGTGGCTCACGCCTGTAATCCTAGCACTCTGGGAGGCCGAGGCAGGCAGATCGCTCAAGGTCAGGAGTTCGAAATCAGCCTGAGCAAGAGCGAGACCCTGTCTCTACTAAAAATAGAAAGAAATTAATTGGCCAACTACAAATATATAGAAAAATATTAGCCGGTTCACAGTGGTGCACACCTGTAGTCCCAGGTACTCGAGAAGCTGAGGCAGGAGGATCACTTGAGCCCAAGAGTTTGCAGTTGCTGTGAACTAGGCTGATGCCATGGCACTCTAGCCTGGGCAACAGAGTGAGGCTCTGTCTCAAAAAAAAAAAAAAAAGAGTCCATGACCCACAAAAGGTTAAGAATCCTGTTCCAATGGGACAGACGAGTAATCAGGAAAACAAAGGGTGGCAGCAGCTACAAGAGCTGCCGCAGCAGCGTACGCTGAAGGCGCGGGGGGTGTTCTAGTCCTGGATGAACTAGCTCCAACTCCTGTTCTTGTCTCTTCTCACTTCCTTCCCTTTTCACTCTTAGCTAAATACAAGGTGACTTCTTGATTAATTCAGTTCAGTTCAACAAGGCTCTATTGACAGCCGGCTATTTACTGGAAGGAGAAGATTCCTGCGTGAGTTAAGAAGGGGTCCCTCACTTGTCATAGTCTGCCTTAGAAGGTACTGAGATTCAATTTATATGAAGCATTAAAATTTCCACAAGAGCCACACAAGGCTCCGTAGGGACCCAGAGGCAGGAGAGAGCAGTTCTTGCCAGGGAACTAGAAGAAGGTATTGGAGAGGGGTGACCCTGGAGTTTGGCCGGGGTCCCAAAGGATGGATGGAAGGAGGTCCCTGGGTGAGAGGGACAGAGTGAGGAAAGGCAGGGAGCTGGAGGAACTTTGGTGTGTTAAGGTACCAGGAACAGCCCCATGGGCCTGCAGGGGGTGGACATGAGTTGAAAGCAGAAATAAGACTGACAAGGTGGGCTGAACCAGAGGGTAGAAGGATTTGAATGCTCTGCTCAGGACAAGACAAAATATCAGACAGCTGTGGACAAGGCAATGACAGATTAGAGTTATTCTTTTTTTTTTTTTTTGAGACAGACTCTCACTCTGTTGCCCTGGTTAGAGTGCCGTGGTGTCACAGCACCCTCAAACTCCTGGGCTCAAGCGATCCTCCTGCCTCAGCCTCCTGAGTAGCTGGGACTACAGGCATGCGCCACCATGCCCGGCTAATTTTTTTTCTATGTATTTTTAGTTGGCCAATTAATTTCTTTCTATTTTTAGTAGGGACAGGGTCTTGCTCTTGCTCAGGCTGGTTTTGAACTCCTGACCTTGAGCAATCCGCCCGCCTCGGCCTCCCAGAGTGCTACGATTACAGGCGTGAGCCACTGCGCCTAGCCAAGGAGTTAGTCTTCAGGAACAGTGTTCTGCCAGGGGTACCACCTGGATTACAGTGGCAAAGCTCAGAGACGGAGAGATCAGCTCGGGCACCGCTGCACCCTGAGAGGTGCTCAGGCAGGGGCAGGGGGAGTGGAAAGGGCAGGGCAGATGGCAGATCCACAGGATGGGGTGATGGGGAAGGGAGGTGAAGATGTGCCCAGGGCTTTAACCCTGAGTCACCTGGGGAATGGGGGTGCCATTCGGAAACTGAATGGGGCGGGGAATGTATATCAGGTAAGAATCGAATCTACCTGCTAGTAACGAAGACCTAAAGCGACAGTGGCTGAAGTCAGAGAGTCAGCTCCTCATAAGGAGCGAGGAGGTGGACAGTCCTGGGCTGTCAGGGCGTCACGGCAGGTGCAGTGTGCTCCTTTCTGCCCTGCCAGTCTATGGCTTCCAGCATGTGACTGCCATCCTCGAAGTCACTGGTTTCTAGACGGCCAGCACAGCAGCAGCAAAAATGTCCACATTCTGCACAGGAAGCTGGAGGCAGGGGAGGAAGAGGGACAAAGGGGCATTCTTCCCAGCTAAGTCAGCCCCTGCTGTCCCGGAAGCCTCACCTGATCGCATCCGTTGTTATGTCTTTGGCCACCGCTGGCCGCCAGGGAGGCTGGGAAACATGTGTTGCCTTCCGGAAGAAAACAGTGCTCTGTTAGTAAGGAAAAGGGGACATGCATGGCGGCGGGCAGCTGGCAGCCTCTGCCCCGGAAGGCACCCCGGAAGCCAGGCAGGAGCTCCAGGGCGTGACGAAGGGCCCTGCTGACTCACAGAGGCAAGGTCAGGTGGAAGTGGGGTTTTCATGTGGCTGTGGCCAGACACATGCCGAGGTTCGGGGATGGAGCCAAACCAGCAAGTGGGAAGCACAGTTGGCGGCAGAGGCTTCTGGAGACCCAACCAGAGACAGGAACGCGGGAGGGTGGGGCCGAGGTCAAGGCCAGTGCGGAGGAGGTGGAGGAGCCTCACGGTCAGGCTGGTGGCCTCGACTGGCAGTCGGTGGGGGCTGGAGAGGCGGGCAGCAGCAGAGTTTCCGGGGTCCAGGCGGGTCTGTGGGGTTCACGTCTGACGGTGGGCTCCCTTCCCCCACCTGGAGCTGGAGCGCAGGTGTACCCCTGTGCACCCAGCCTGCCTACATCCCAGAGGGTCTTGACTTTGCTCTACATGCACACGGACGTGACGACTGCTGCATGCCGGATGAAAACTAACGACAGCAGGGTCGATCTTGACGCGATGGCCTTAAAATAAACACGCAGATTTGACTACGTACTTTCACATCCCCAACATCTGTAACCCATCTGACCTTCCAAAAGGCTGATAAGAGAACAAAACAAAACTCTTCTTTGTGGGGAGATGGCCAATGAACCGTACTTGACTCCACAAAATCCCAACTAAGGGTCTTCCAAGGTACAGTTGTGGGTGCATTCATTCTGTTAACTTGCTGAAGTTACCTTACCTCTCTGATCCCTGGTTTCTTTGTTTGTAAAATGATGGAGCTGGGCCAAATGATTCTGCTTCTTTCTAACTCTGGTTGTTATTTTTGTTTTTTTGAGACAGAGTCTCACTCTTTTGCCCGGGCTAGAGTGCCGTGGCATCAGCCTAGCTCACAGCAACCTCAAATTACTGGGCTCAAGCGATCCTCCTGCCTCAGCCTCCCGAGTAGCTGGGACTATAGACATGCACCACGATGCCCGGCTAATATTTTGTATATATATTTTAGTTGGTCAATTGATTTCTATTTTTAGTAGAGATGGGGTCTTGCTCTTGCCCAGGCTGGTTTCGAACTCCTGACCTTGAGCGATCCTCCCGCTTCGGCCTCCCAGAGAGCTAGGATTACAGGCGTGGGCCACCTCGCCCAGCCTTCTTTCTAACTCTGAACTTGTATGAACCTAAAAAGCTGTGTGTGAAATCGCTGCCCAGAACTTGATAAACAGACACTTTAGAGGACTTGCATTGGTGAAGACGTAGCCTCCTTGCCGAGGACTAACGGAGGTCCTTGTTCCTTCTCCCGTCCTCGCACCTGTGTCTCCACAGCTGTGCACCCTGCAGTGTGAAGAGAAGGTCTTCCCCAGCCCTCGCTGGACTCCGTGCGCCAAGGCCACGGCCAGGGGCTCCTGGCAGCTCAGCCCTGCTGCCCCCGGCCACCAGGCGGCTGCCCTTCTCCAGCCCGGCGCCCCCGAGATGCAGCAGCTGAAGCGGATGCCCCGGGTCGGGGGCCCGCTCCCTGCACAGGACGAGACCGGGCCCGGCCCCGAGGAGGCCAGCGAGATGGAGACCCAGCAGAAGCAGCTGCAGAAGAGGTTCGGGGGCTTCACTGGGGCCCGGAAGTCGGCCCGGAAGTTGGCCAACCAGAAGCGGTTCAGTGAGTTTATGAGGCAGTACCTGGTCCTGAGCTTGCAGTCCAGCCAGCGCCGGCGCACCCTGCACCAGAATGGTAACGTGTAGCCTCGGGGGAGCCCTCCCAGCCGCACCGTCCGCGCCACCCACGAGTGAGTTGGGCACCGATTAGCTGGGGGCAGGCAGAGACCTCACAGCCCAGCCGCCTCAGCCTGGAAGCACATCAGCCCCAAACACACACCCCACACCACCTCCAGGAGTCCGGCGCCGGGAGCCCTGGGAGGGCCACTCCCCTGCCTGCTCCTGCCCAGCCTGTCTCTAGGGAGCACACAGCTGCCCACAGCTGCTCCTTGAGGCTGTCCACTCCCCCGTCGGGGGACTGGTTACCATGGGGATAATAGTAGTACGTTAGGGTAACTAATTCCTCCATCCCTCTCCAGGAGCTTAGTTACTATGGGGACAGCTAAGTGGACCAATCCTCCTCTCTGGTTGCCATAGCAACCATTCAGCTCACCTCTCCTCGGAGACTTTATCTCTAAAAACCAATCACTGGACCTACTCTTAGCCATTCGCCAAGAGTCCGATTACTGTGGCTGTGATGTCGCTATTTCATCTTCAAAGGCGGCTTACCTATCCTCTCCCCTTCCCGCTGTGTCTGGACTCCATGGAAACCATGAAAGCCCCCCATGTCCCCCAGCCAAGCAGTTTCTTGTTAGGCCCAGGAGTTATGCTCTCTCCTTGTCTTCCTCCCACAAGCCGTTTGTCGCTCCTGCCTCCTTGCTGGAGATGCACCGATGGCGTCATCTCTGAGCAAGACTGGGAGAAGCTGGCCCCAGTGACCCAGTAGCTTCCAGAATATAGACTAAAGGAATTCATTTTCCCTCCTCAAGTTTCGCTTCTTTCCGGCATGCCATGTCGCCTTGCTTTTGTTTGTTTGCTTTCGTCCCTCTCTCCTGTCTTCCTTGTTCTCCCTCCCTTCTGCCCTCTTCCCACTCCCGCGGGCATGCTTATACGAGCACACATAACAAGTATCAGATGATACACATCAAAGACCCTAATTTATTGCCCAGTCATTCGAGATCTAACTTTCCTCAGCCCATCAACCCGTGCATAACTGTGAACAGCACTGGGAACTAGCACAGCAGAATTTTCCAAAAATTTAAGAAAATCCCAACCACCAAGTCCTTGGGAATATGGTCACTGGCAGAGTCCTGCATGGCTCCTCCAACAGCTCAGAAACTTGCCCAAACACAAAGAACTAGTCAGTTTGTCAAATTCATCCCAAAGCATTACCCAGTTAGGGCTTTTCCCTGACTCGGAGGCATGAGAGAGAAATGTGTTTTGCACTGCTGTTTCAGTTTGCTTCCCATACATCAGAGGCGGCCCTGTCACTAATAATCTCCCTTGAAGACAATTAATGCACCTGCTAATCATTGGCACCCGCGCATCAGCACAGAGGCAGCCCACGTAGCTCTTTGCAGGTAGGACAGAGGGTTTGCGACCGGCCCGTTACCAAATATGGACACGGGCATTCGGTTGTGAAAAGGCTGCCGTGTTTATTTTAGCGGATGACTAATCTCGAAGGCCCTGAATTAACCTGCACTGCCTCTGAAGTCATACTCTTGGATCCTTCACCAGCATTCTATTTCTAAGCCTCATCCCCGTATCTGCACGGTCCCCAATGGTCAATCTTGCAGAAGTGGCATGGATTGAATGCTTTGAAAGATTCCTCCTCTTCAAAGTGGCTCTTAAGGGACCCTGAAGCTCATGTCTCATTCTGAACTACGATAATTTTCTTCACCTAAACACAGTTTAAAATCAGGCCCATTAGCAGGAATCAATTTATTTTGAAAAACCATTTGAGCCCCTATCCAGGCAATTGGTTTTTCTAATCTTCTATTATGCTTCCAACTGAGAGTCGCTGAAAGCAAGCTCTAACTAGCTCCTGTCTGCTGCTTTGCTCCCATGTAAAGTTCTGGATGGGAACGCTTGGAAACATTAACCAGCTCATTTGGGTATTATAGATGGCTTTCCTTTTCCCTTCTGCGACCGTCCCTCTGTTTCTTTCTTCCTCACACGCATGGTTGCTGAGTTCCAATATGCATCTGTATTTATGAGTCTATGACTCATGGGCAGCTTAAACCTTGTTGTTATTCACATACACACACCACAACCTGCCCTACACATGACGATTTCTCCATCTTGGAGGACTCTGGTCGCAAAGCTGTCCTTGACTTCTAAGATACCCAGTACAGATCTATATTTAGAAGGCTGGGAGGAGATAGGGCCACCTAACATTGCAATGGGATAGAGAACCCTACTCAGAAAGTGTATCATGTCCTGGGAAGGGCGTGCAATGGGGTGCAGGACCAGCCCTAGACAGAACCAAGAGAGGGCACAACTGTTCTTGAGGTCACTTCCCCCTCACAGGCCCTATACTGCCTTCCTCTGTCCTGCTACCCTAGGCCTTTCTGGCCGCTGGAAAATGAGTAGATTCTTTCATGGTCATCGATCAGTGACATAGGCTTGGAGAGCACTCGTAAGATGAGAGCTAGGAATGAGGACACTATTTAGCACGGATTGCAAACACCAGGGAGAAGGGAACTGTCCTTGGGTAGGGGGCTTGTCACGATGCATTAATCCTTCTAGTCCTGCCAGCAGACTCAGGACTGGCGGAGATGTGTGGAGGGGTCAAGGGACCTTTCTGGCTGCCTTAGGAACCACTGGGTTGACAGCTTTTCCTCACTCCCTTGTCATAGCTTCAGTCAGTACAGCGAATAGGACAGAGGGGTCTGAAAAAACCACTGGGTTTGCCATTTTAATCATTTTTGTCTCCCCAGGCGTCCGGGTGACCCCCCAAACAGCATGTGTCCAGCCCCAGACCTGCCGCCTGGGAATCAGAATTCCTTCCTCCCCGTGGCCCTGAGCGAGGCTCTGCCTCCGGAACCTCCCCCTCCCCACGGCATGTTTCACCACGACCCTGTTGCTACATCAGAGTGTATTTTTGTAATTCCTCCAGCTCACATTTCAACGGCCCCATCTTTCCTGCTCACCCGCCTCTCCCCTCTGCCAGGGGCGGGCGAAAAGGAAGAGGAAAGCAAGCCTGGGGTTTCGACGCGTCACTGCCATCCCTCGTTTGTAAAAGATGCTCTTCTTTCTGACTGATTGTTTTGAACAACTATTTCTCCATTAAACTTCTACTGAGCACATGGTTAATAAACTGGTTTGCTGTTTTTAAGTGAATCGACCGAGAAGCACAGAGGCCACCAACACGCAAACCAGAGCGGCAGCTCCCGGGAGGCAGATGCAGAAAGCGTGTGGCTCTGCCTTGGAGAAAGTGAGAGGGGCAAGGTGCACCCGACTGCGTGGGGGGCGGGGTGGGGATCTGATCCAGGTGCAGCCGGTGGCGGGAACGGACAGGGCAGTGGTTCTCAAAACCTCTCTGTGTGCACCAGGTGGGCCCCATCTCCAGTTTCTGACTTGGTAGAAATTTGCCTTTTTAACAAACTCCAGGTGGCTGGGTGCGGTGGCTCATGCCTGTAATCCTAGCACTCTGGGAGGCCAAAGCGGGTGGATCGTTTGAGCTCGAGTTCGAAATCAGGCTGAGCAAGAGCAAGACCCTGTCTCTACTAAAAAAATAGAAAAATTAGGCTGAACAACTAAAAATATATAGAAAAAATTAGCTGGCATGGTGGCGCATGCCTGTAGTCCCAGCTACTCGGGAGGCTGAGGCAGGAGGATTGCTTGAGCCCAGGAGTTTGAGGTTGCTGCGAGCTAGGCTGACGCCACGGCACTCACTCTAGCCTGGGCAACAGAGTGAAACTCTGTCTCAGAAAAAAAAGGTCCAGGTGACACAAGCCCTGTTGGTTTGGGCCCAGTGGATTGAGACACAAGGCAAGGGGCAGAGCCAGGAAAAACCTGCTTAGCTGACGACACTTTTATCCCCAACGTAACATGTTAAGGTGTGTTACCACTGTCAGAGTCCAGGCAAGAAACATACAGTGAACCCAAATGGTGTAACTAAGCGGAATTAAACGTCTGCAAAAATGGGCAGGGTCCCAGGAAGTCAGCAAGGGCTGGTCAGGTGCTCTGCGGGAACACACAAGAACGCAGCTCTCCGTAGGGAGACAGACTCATCCCCCCTCTCTCTCCTCCTCGCGCTCAAACTCCAGCCTGGTGGCTCCTGTTGGCCAAACCCAACCGGCAGCAGGAAAGTTGGGGGTTCAGTCCACAGGTGCAGCCACAAAGGTAAGTCTTGGAGAACACGGCGACCTGACTCGCTCACCTGGGCACACGCTGCCGACTGACTCAACCCAGGTTTCTTAGTGGATGGGCGGGGCAGGGACTCAGAAGAGGGAGACAGACGTCCTCTGTTCTGCCCAAGGCGAGGAGAAAGGCAACGAGGAGAAAAGACACACTGCCTCACCGGCTGCCGGGCGTGGCCGATCGTGCCAGCACAAAGCGCCTGCACCTGCCAGAGTGCAGCCCCCTCGCTGGCACAATGTTTCGGGTTCCTGGAACCCACTCCCGGAGACACCTCGTAGTGCCAGAGGCTTCCCTCCTCCTCGGAGCCCCTCCCCACACTCCGTGTGCACCCGCTCAATAGTTCTTTACAGCTCAGCACCTAAAACTGCAGGTGCCAGCCCGGGGTGGGGTGGTGCCTTCTGCTTTCAACAGCCTTCCCGCCCAGGCCGGGCTGCCGGCCGCGTGCACCACCTCGGCACACGGAATCCACGTCTGCAGGGAGCGGAACGTTCAGAACCCATCAGAAAGTCACTTAGATTCCCCTAAGTCACTTGCTTGTCCCCCAACAGACTCAGGAATATGGCCATGAATACGCTCCCTCTGTCAATAGCAGCAGCAGCAAATAGTTACCACCTGGATTACAATCCTAGCGCCATTACTACCCAGTCTCTGACCCGGGCAAGTTATTTAACTTCTGGGCCTCACTCTCCTCATCTGTAAAATGGGAATAATTATATAACTCTCTCATAGGGTTATTTAACACTAACTGAACACTTGGCCCAACCCCTGGTCAACGTTCCGTACTGCCACGATACACAGATCAATGTGTTCACTGTGCCTACGGTGTGATTCTCTGTCACTTAACGCCAAGGACAATGACAATCTTATTCTTCGCAGGGGGACGGAGGGGCAGAGGGACAGGCACACATTAAATCAGACAAGGTACCATTTTATTCTTTATAAAATATATTTCATATTGTTGCTGTAAAAACATTACATTTCACATTTTTTTAAAAAAATTTTTTAACAGTAAAAATAATACTTGGAAGACAGCTGGGGAAAAGGCGCCAATAAGACAAATTCACAGATGGGATTTATCTCCCTCTCCTTTTTTTTTTTTTTTTTTGCCCCTGGTAAAGTCAGAACCTGGATGACCAGAAAGTAACAGGACCAATTTCTCCCAACAAATCAGAATCCAAATTCGCATTGTTCTCCGAGGAGTTGCACTATAGACTTCCCATGGCAACACTGCCGTTGCTCGACACGCTCTGAAATTACAGAATTGCTCTCAGAGCCAGTTTAAAAGCCGCACGATTAAACCCAAGCTACCTGACACAGTCCTCTCGGTCTGCAGCCTGAGCTCTCCCCCCGACCACGGACATGATTCGCCGGGCTCTGCGCTAAGGGAGCGTGGGTGCAGGCTTGGTGTCCTTAAAGGTGTTCGGAACACAGCACCACCGGCTCTGAAGGTGACTTCGAGAAATATTCTGGATAAAGGTAACATCGCTGGGATGAACAGATGGTTTCCCAAGATAACTGCTTTGAAAATCGGTCCTGTTAGTTTCAGAAGCTCATCGGTGGCATCTCAGTTCCACAAGATCCTGCTTCCCGGGCTCGAGGGAGGGGGGAGGAAGGGAGATTGGAGATGAGGCAAACAAGCATGATCGCCGGGTCCGCACCCGGACCACCCCCACCCTCCGAGAAGAAACAGATGGAGCGACCCCGGGGACGGAGCATGTGCTAAGAACCAACACAACAGCCATGAGAGGGGCGAGGGCAGGGGGGCAGGGGTGAGGGGAGGCAGCGGACGCCGCCCCCGCCGAAAAGGACAGGGAGCAAATGCAGGCAGGGAAGGCTGCACCCAAACCCAAGACCCAGAACAAAAACAAAACCACCCCAGTTTCTAGACTGCTCCACCCTCGTCTGCTTTCTCTCTTCCTTTCCCGCCCTGTGTGCCAGCGGGCCGGGGAGCCGCCCTCACACGGAGACACCTGTGCATCCGGAGACACCTGTGCATCCGGCGACGTCTGCACGGTCCGAATGGCGGAAGGGAACCCCAGCAGCTTTTCTAAAGGGGACACTCGGCAAGAGCTCCCTGGGCCACCAAGGGCTGGCCTGCTGCTTCTCAGCTTTACCAAGACACAGAATTCCACGTACATTTTCTTTACTACGTTATAACAACATACCAAAGACAGCTGCAGCATAAGAGTGTCTGTCCTTTCTGTCACCAAGCCAGGGCACTATACCCTTCAGGACACCACGCCCCTGAGTTGGTTAGGTCTGCAGGTTTTGTAACACTCGGTGTGTCTCAAATTGAAAAGCACGTGTCTGTTGCCCACCTGAAGCATCCAACAGGGCCTCGGTGGCCAGGTGTCTTCACCTGGGACTCAAAAGACAGCCTTGATGACAACCCAGGGGGTGGATGCTGCCGCTTAGTGCTAGGACAGGTGGCTTGGTGGGAGTCCCTGAGCCCCTGACATCTGGGACGTCGGGCTAGGGCTTGTCCCCAAGACAGCTGGGCACCAGGTGGTCACGCTCGAGCAGGCCCGGAGGGGAGCTCGGAAGAGAGAGGAGGTGCCAGGACAGGAGCATGTCCTGCTCGGTCCGTGTGCATCGGAGCTGGCCCGGCGCCGAACCCCCCCAGGCCTCCCTCCTGCCCGACAGGAACAGCTCTACTCACGGACCACAATGTGGCCCAGTTTCGTCTCCCCTAAATTAGCCTGTGGTCTCCAGAAACACCAGGGCAGAAACGCCGGGAGCCACCAAATGCAACCCCACGTCCCGCTCCGTGGTTTCCTCAGCCCGAACCTCGCTCCCTAGAGGACGCTCTCTGGCCTCCCCCATCCCGCCTCCAGCCCGGAAACGGAAATGGGGAAACCCCTGCTGAAGCCAGGAGACAAACAGGAACCGGCCAGCAACCCGCTGGGGTCTCCCCGGCGCCCAGACAAAGGAAACGCCCATCAGTAAAGACTCCCACACCCGCCAGGAGAGAACGGGCTCCGCAGGTGCCCTTTCCAGAGCTGGCGGGAGGGGCGTCGGGAGGGAGTTATCTGGGGAAGAGCAGAGAGTTTCTGAAGACACCGACTCCCCGAGGAAGGAGGAGAACCATCAAGGTAGTGTTTAACTGCCACGTCCCGAAAAGTGGATTCTTATCAGCCTGTTGGCTCAGCTATTTGGGGACAGTCTAAAAACCTATGAGTCTGGGCTGTGAGAAGAAGCCACGTGCCATCTGTCGGGATGCAACCCAGCGTCTAAGGGCTCCCAGGCTCCAACAGCTGCTGCCAAGGAAGGCCCTTCCTCTGCCCTCCACGGGAGCCGCGCAGGCGGGAAGCGGCGACACTCCCCGAAACGCGGACACCCACCTTCCCACCCGGCCACCCAGTCCCGCCTCTCAGCCACCCGTCAGCCAGAAACTTTTTTTAAAAAAAAAAAAAAGAAAAGAAAAGTAAATTCATGTTGCTCACAGTCCTTTCTGGAAAAAGTTGAGAAAGCAAAGAATTCACCAACTCAGCAGGAAACAGGACGAGCTGTTCCTTCTTTTGATGCGTACGAACTAATCCCCTGGAGAGGGAGATGCGGGAGGGAGGGTAAGTAATTCTTTGGTCTCCGGTTCACTGCTGAATACCCTTGGTCAGTTTTGGCTCTCTCCTATTTTGGGGGGCAGGGAGCAGGGCGGGGGAATATTTCTGTTTCTTTTTTTCCTTTTTTTTTTTTTAAATACAATGTTCCCACAAAGGGGCAAAAAATGCTTTTAAGTGTTACACCTTCGCCAATCGAGCCCAGGCTCTGCATTTCCACTCTTTAGCTTTCCGGTGTCCGCTGAGGGCTGGTGACACCTTTTGTCAGCTGGCTGCCGGCGGGGCCGGGAGCGGGGGCAGGGCGGGCGGGCGGGTCAGTCCAGGAACCGCTGGCAGGCCTTCTTCCACCGGCAGGCCGTGCACCACTGGTCCCGGTGCTCGATGCCGTACACCTTGCGGCACTTCTTCGCCTCCCCTCGGGCTTTCCTGCCGAAAGAGAGTCCGGACATCGGCGTCACCGGTGGTGGTTAGACCTGGACAGCCGCCACGAGCAAGGCTGAGTGACCACGCAGAGGTGGGGGAGGGGGGGTGGCTCCCCACAGAAGCCAACGGGAAGGGGCCAGAGGCTCTGAGCAAGAAAGCCACCCTGTCTGGGGTGCCCTCAACCTGCGCTCCCCTCTGGGGACAAGCCCTGGTGACTTCTGTAGGGTGGACTCAGAGTCCACGCCACCAGTGGAGACAGAGGGAGGGACTGGACCCAGAAGGCAGGGCACGACAGTGGACGTCTCACCTGGCGCTGCTCGGGGCCCGAGGTGGAGAAGTGACGATCAGGTGAGATTTCACCGCAGGTGGCAGCTGCTGGGGCTCGCTGAAGCTCAGTGACCGGCTGCGGACCTGGGCACAGGGAGACGGGCCATGAGCAGGAGGGCGGTCGGAAAGGGTGAGAGCACCGTCCTACAGGACAGCCGGCCACACTCGCCGCACCGCTCCTTGCGCTGCCAGCCGCAAGGCAAGCAGAGGGGCAGCTGCAGGAGGCATGTCCTGGGTTCGTTCCAGCAGGGAGTGCTCTCGGCAACAAGCCCCGGCGAAGCAGAGCGAGGAACAGGCCTTTCATGCCACACTCAGAACCCCGCAGGGGCCGAGTGCGTGGGAGCCACCTGGCCTGGCCACCTTTAGGGCTGTTCCCTGCAGGGGACTGAGACAAAGGGAGGCATCACACTGCCTCAACTGCAGCTCCTGGCAATTCGGTTTTCCGATGTGTGACACCTCCCTGCAGGAAACGCGTAAGACTAGAGCCCCCTGGGTGGGGTTCACGAAGACCTCCAGGTGATTGTAGTTCGGGGTCGTGTGACCTAGGGGCCCTGGCTCCCAAAGACCTTGAGATTTCTGCCCCAGCCCAGGCAGCTCTCCACTTTCTCTCCCTTCCTCTCCTCTCGGCGGTAGAACCCTCACAAGCATCCGCCAACACTCAGTGACTAGGACACTGACCCGGCCTCGACCCGTGACTCTTGGCAGGAAAGGTGCCTGGTCCGGGCACTCCTCTGCCAGCACTTCCACCTTACGGGAGGGGCCGTGGCCAGCAGGGAGCGCCAGGGAGGGACCTTCAAAGGGTCTGGGGGCTGGTGGCAACACCGACCCGCGCCACGTGCAGAGAGAGGGCCTACAGCCCCGGGTGTGGGCGAGCCCTGGTCTCCCGCCGGCCCCCCAGGTCCGAGCGCTGCGGGGCGCAGGGACGGGCACACTCACCGGAGAGAGGGAGCAGGCGGTGGAGGGGGCGGCAGCCCAGCTGACACTGGTGTAGATGTGCGGAGAGACGGGGATCTGGAAGGAAGGCAGAGCCTGCGGAGACCAGAGCGCGTCAGCCTGGGTTCCGGCTCGGCAGGCGCTCAGCGTCTGCCCGCGGGCCCTGCAACCTCTCGGGCCCTGCAACCAGGGCCCTGCAACCAGGGCCCTGCAACCAACCTCGGGGGCCCTGCAACCTCGCGGTGCGCAGCAGGAGGCCCAGCTCCCGTGCCATGCCCAGGAAATGCTGCGGCATGCCCGACGGGTCTTCTTTCCCGAGAGCAACGTCAGAGTGTCCAACTCTTTGAAGTCGTCCCCTAGCTGCAAGGCTCTGATCTCGCTCTGGAACCCTGTTCTCAGTGGCCTACGTGCCAGCCTCACGCCTTACTCGTCATCGCAGAGGATTACCTACCTTCCCTGCCGGGCGCCCGCCGAGAACGTGCTCCAGCAGCTGCCAAAGGAGGTCCCACAGCCCTCTGCGCCGAGCGGCACTGCTGGAGTAAGGCGTGGTGTGCCAGGCACCCAGGGGAGGTAGCAACATGCTTGTGGACGGCCGGGTTCAGGTACTTGAGAAAACACCAGCCCCCTGTCTAGCCCGACAGGGTCCACTAGAGCTGGAAGCTGGCCAGACACCACACAGCTAGGCGGCCACTCGCTCTGGTAAGGAGAACTGGCTCTTTTTGCAAAGGCTTTCTGATTGCAAGCAATTTTTTTTTTTTGAGACAGAGTCTCACTTTGTTGTCCAGGCTAGAGTGAGTGCCGTGGTGTCAGCCTAGCTCACAGCAACCTCAAACTCCTGGGCTCAAGCCATCCTCCTGCCTCAGCCTCCCAAGTAGCTGGGACTACAGGCATGCGCCACCATGCCCAGCTAATTTTTCTATATATATTAGTTGGCCAATTAATTTCTTTCTATTTATAGTAGAGACGAGGTCTCGCTCTTGCTCAGGCTGGTTCCGAACTCCTGACCTCGAGCAATCTGCCCGCCTCGGCCTCCCAGAGTGCTAGGATTACAGGTGTGAGCCACCGCGCCCGGCCTGAAAGCACTTTTAATTACTAGCCTGCAAATTGGCCCAGAGTCTGATGAAACCAAGCTGCAGGCACAAAAGGATTGTAAGATAAACTGGCACACGGCAAGATGCACATTCACTGAGTACCTACTATGTGCAGTAAAGCCATCCTAAACATCACCCTTTCTGCGACAACAGTCCCAACCACACAGGCGTAACAGCTCCGTCCCTTCTGTGCCCACGACACCTTCTCATGCCTCCAGTAAATGGTGCTTTGACTATTTATTATGATTAACCATATTTATATACTCACTTCTCTCTCCAGCTAAACCATGCACTCCCCAAGAACGGGGACTACGTCTAATTCTATCTGAAAAGCTCACTTAGCCCAAGCGTGACACACAGTAGGTACTCAAAACATGGGTGCTGGATAGCTTGTTAATGCAAAACCATTCTAGGACCTAGAGCAGGCGTCCTCAAACTACGGCCTGCAGGCCACATGTGGGTGTTTTTGCCCGTTTGCCTTTTTACTTCAAAATAAGATATGTGCAGTGTGCATGGGAATTTGTTCATAGTTTTTTTAAACTATAGTGCGGCCCTCCAGTGGTCTGAGGGACAGTGGACTGGCCCTCTGTTTAAAAAGTCTGAGGACCCCTGACCTAGAGAGTTGCTCCAGGATGCCCAACTGCACCACTCCATCACCTCTCATGACCAGAGATGTAACAGTCCCCGGGCCAAATCCACCAACGCGGTTGCTCAGGGAGCCAGCAAGATTTCTAGTAACGCTCATGTAGCTACCGAATCCCCACCTTTATCGAGTGTGAAATCAGTTTCCTTTTCCTTCTTCATAGAGGTAAGAGATTAGCAATTTTTGGCCAAAAGGCTCAGCCCTCAATCAGGGTGGCCAATGGCCTGTGGCCAGGCTGGCCGGTGACAAGTCAGGTGACAAGTCAAGAGAGGAGGCTGAGCCCCCGAGAGCCCCCGCCCCGTACCTGGTAGCGTGGTCAGCCTGGATGTGCCAGAAGGACCCCGGGGCTGACTTGCTGAGGGCGCCCGAGGGCAGAGAAGACTCCAGGCCGGGGTGTTCGGGGCCGGAAGGCTGGGCTTTGGCGGAGGTGGAAGAGCGGCGGCGAGGGGCAGGCTGGTCACGCTGGGGGCGGGAGCCGGTTCGGCGGTGGGAGTCCGAGGGGCGGGGGTGCCCGCGGCAGCAGCAGCGGCAGATTCCTCCTTCATCTGCACCTCTGTGTAGTAGAAGTCCTCCTCCCGCTTGAACTGGTCGGAGTCCACCGTGTCCCTGCGTGGGAGGCGAATGCGGGCATCGTCAGGGACACACTGCGACGCGTCAAACCCAGTGCGACACTACTAGGGGCCACCCGGAAAGTCAGAGGGGGAGCACGCCCGGGAGAACGCCCAGGAGCACACCCTGGCGCACGCCGCGGGATTACGGGCTGTACGTCAACAGGAATTGTTTTTCCTGGCGCCTGAGGTCTGTGCTCTCCCAGGACCTGCGCCAACCTCTCCTCCGGAGGGAGGTAACCGGCTCCGATGCCACCACACGCCCTCTCTGGGCCCCACCTGCCGGCAGCCACGCTCCCTCCCCGGGGCTGAGTCAGCCACTGGCACGAGTGGCCACACACACTCGCATGCTGCTAGAACGCGGCACCCGCGCTGGCGGGTGTTCACGCCTGTAATCCTAGTCACTCTGGGAGGCCAAGGCGGGAGGATTGCTCGAGGTCAGGAGTTCGAGACCAGCCTGAGCAAGAGCGAGACCATCCACCTCTACTATAAATAGAAGAAATTAATTGGCCAACTAAAATATATAGAAAAAAATAGCCAGGCATGGTGGCGCATGCCTGTAAGTCCCAGCTACTTGGAGGCTGAGGCATCAGATGCTTGGAGCCCAGGAGTTTGGAGGTTGCTGTGAGCTAGCTGATGCCATGGCACTCACTCTAGCCTGGGCAATAAAAGCGAGACTCTGTCTCAAAAAAAAAAAAAAAAAAAAGAATGCGGCACCAGCACCCGGGCCAACGGGTAACGGCTGCTGCGGGGAGGCAGGTGCGGTGCTCACTCGGCCGCTACACACCTCGGCAGCAGGATCTCGGCAGTGATTGAACCAAACTACCCTGTTTCTACCCAGAACTGAAACATCCTGCTTTCTACAGCGAGGCTAGAAGGCACGTCCACGAGATGGACAGAGTTCCCTTCCCGCCAACAGTGGCAACGCTCGCCAGGATGTCCTTCCGATGGGGGCCAGGAACAGGCACCAGGTGGCATCCTCGGCGCACCTTTCCTCGGCAGCGTTCTGGGCCGGGCGTCGTGGGGAGTTAGCAGGTGGAGGAACACCTGAAGGTGCCCTGGGCCGGAAGCCCCGGGCTCCACACCTACCCCAGGTGGAGGGCTTTGACGTGTCGCTTGATGCCCACGATTGAGCGCAGCACTTTGCCACAGTTTGGCCACAGGCACTTGTACATCACCTTCACGGAGTTCTGGGGGAAAACAAGACTGGGTAAGCGGGACACGCTCTCCTCCTCATCCGTCGCTCAGCCTTAACCCCGCGGGGACTCCAGCTGGCTGCTGTCCTCTACCCAACCCTACGACAGCCTCCAGGAAAGGGCTTCTCTGGGACCAGAGAAACTGACAACCAGGAGCCAGAAAGCCCGGACCCAAGAGATGGTCCCAGTGGCCAAGAGCTGGGTGCCGTGGCTAAGACCCCACTGGGAGCCCCTCACGCACAGGCCTCTGCAGGCGTGTGGGAGAGGGCAGGGGTCGGGGGAGAGGTTGAAAAGGAAGGACACTGCCATGGAAGAGGAGGAGGCCACTCCTAGGCACACCAGCAGGTAAGCAGCAGCAAATGAAAACCAAAATGGGGGGGAGGCGTCCAGAACACCCAGGGCCCATGGGCCCCTCCCCCGCATGGCCGGCAATCCCCACCCAGCCCGGCTCATGCCCACATGATAGTCATGTACCTTTCTTTTCCTCGGAGCTGGTTCATCCAACAGGAAAGGGTCGGGATCGGTCTCAAAGCCATGATCAGTCTGAGGAGAACCAAAAGCATCCCCCAGATACTTGGGGCTGGCCTGGGGGTGGGGGGGCGACGGGGTGGAGATGCCGCTGCTCCCGCTCCAGTGCCCGCTGGTGGTGCTGCTGCCGCTGTCCGACACGTCGCCGCTCTCCTTCCACGGGTCACAGGCCGCGCGGGAAGCTGGCCGGGCAGAGAGAAGACGGGAAGGGTGCTCACGGGCTTGTCCCCCGGCCAAAACAGAAAAGAACCAAAACCTCTCCCTGCGAGAGGGAGGTTAGGTCAACCAGCCAGCAAACCCTACAAATGCGGCAGCCGTCTCCATAGGGATGACCGCAAATGGCCCAAACACAAAAAATCTGTATGGCAGAGTTTGACTGGCACACAAAAGAAGCAAAACATAAAAGTTAGCTGTAAAGTTATAAGTTAATTTATAAGTTATTAACTTACTCCAGCTTTGATCATGTTTCTAGAACAGACAATAAATATTCTACACCATGAAAACAAAGCACTCCTCTGCACTCCTAGCACAGAGAGCTTACAAGTGAGGTTTTAGGAAGTATTTATAATCCCTTCTGTTACACACACACACACACACACACACACACACACAGAGCCATCCTAACAACACAGAGACCAAAGAGAGTCGGTGGCTCTCGTGCAGATAGTATCCATGATTAGAGTAAGGTTTTGGTTGTTGCATTTCCTCGCTTTGCAGAATACCTCAAGGTAATTAACTGCCAAGGAACCCTTATTTTTCCATTGACTTCAACTATAAAATGAGAAATATGTCGTCACGAAAAAAATATTAAGGGAGGGGTAAAAAAAAGAAAAAAAATCCTAGACAATGAAAATTTTTTTCGAAAAGGGAATCGAGATGTCAGGATTGTGGCAAATTATCAGTGAGATGTATATATGTTGGTACGCACAAGTGTACACACGTTATACTACACACATGTACATACGTTCCTATCCGAGACAACAGTCAATAACCTCCTTTCTCTTTAGGATACATTCATGGATCTTCCCCTTGTTGGCCCAATCTCTTGGATCTCCTAAACCCATAACATTTCCGGAGAACTTAAAATTCACTCCTTTCTTCTGCCCCATTATGCCAGTGCTAATAGAGCAGGCATGCAATACTAGGCTTCACAGCTAGGTGTCCTCATAGCACATCGACTTCCTCTAGAAGCCATGTGTCACTGACAACAGGCTTTTGAAATCTCAAATAAATAAGCTTGCTTTCTCTCTCCTCTGTACCTGCCGTGTTTCCCTGAAAATAAGACCTACTCATAAAATAAGCCCCAGCAGGATTTCTAAGCATTTGTGCAATAGAAGCCCCACCCCAAAAATAAGCCCTAGTGCTGGGCGTGGCTACGCAGCGCGTCTGCACAACCCATGCGTTTCTTCGTCTCGGAGCGGTAAAGACGACGAGCAGCCCTTCTCATCTGCCCCATTGTGACAGCTACTTTCCCACAGGTGACCAGAAAGGTGCCTGCAGCCCCACCAACAAGGTCAGCTCCCCCTGTCAGGTGCTGGCCAATGGTTCTAAAGGAAATACAGTCGCAAGAAATTCAGGATGGAATTCGGGGTTTGGAGAGTGATGATGATGTTCCGGAAGACGACGACTTAATTATATTTGAATAAATGTAGATTGTTGTACCGTATTTAAAAAAAAATAACACATCCCCTGAAAATAAGCCCTAGGGTGTCTTCTTGAGGAAAAATAAACATAAGACCCTGTCTTATTTTGGGGGAAACACAGTACTTCCTACCTAGGGAGATTACTTACGAGGAATACTTCTTGCAAAGGCCTCCTAGTAGGTGCTTAGAGCTAACCCCATATTTTCCTACACACGCTTAAGTGGCTTGCAATTCAGTTAGGTCTCACCAGTGAAAAAGTTCTTCCCTGGGAGTAAGGTAGGCCAGCCCTATAACAAATTTCAAAAAACATTTCGCGTTCACTGCCAGCCTTGTCAAAGTACTAAGACCCAGCAACCCATCTTCCCCTCCTACTACTGATAAGTGGGTCGCAACTATACGAATTGCGTTTTACTGTATAAATTTGCCTTGAAGCCAAATTTTAAAAACTACTCGGTTTTAGCAAGCAATTAGATTTATTTTAGACTTTCGCTCATTTATTTCAGGTCCTTGTCCTGTAGGCCCACGCTAATGTAGAAGGCTGAATTAGGCACTTGGAACTGGGTGCGTGAATTTTCTGAGGCCACTAGAGGATGATTTAGTCCACGTCCCCCTTTGTGAACTAAATGTTCCTCTGGTGGCCTCATTCAGGCCCCCGCCGACGTGCCGCGCTCGAGTGGCCACTGGGGCTCAGTCCCGTGCTCAACCATCTTCACCGTGCACCCGGAAGCTTCTCCCCAGATGACGCAACTGAGGAGAGAGAACGGAAGCATCTAACTCAATGGCACTCGGCCAGTCTGCGGCGCCAGCGAGAAGGGCCTCCGGAAATCCTCTCGCCAGGCTTGGTGACGGTGGCAATTAGCTGCTCAACCTTGCAGATGTCAGTGGCGGGCCTCTGCCACGCCCAGAACCCGGCCAGGCCCCGGCTTGCTCACCAGAGAAGTTGACCTCGGCCCCAGGAGGACTCTGCACGACCGGGCTGCAGGACAGGGACGTCAGCACCATGGCCGCCATCATCTCGTCCATTTCCACCGCGTCCGACTTCCTAGGTTCGAACAGGTGAGAGGGAAAGGTGACTCGCTGGGACGGCAGGTGCACAGTCCCCACAGAACAAGACACCACATCGGTCATTTTCATGTGATGGGGACAAGAGGCACCCAACCGGAATTCAAAAGCACAAAAAATCACTTCCTTTCCCTGTCTTACGATTAGATATAAGAGGGACCAATGACACTAACCAGTCTCTTCCTGCCCTCCCCCAAGAAGAATGACACGCGTGGGGTGTGGGCTGCCCTGAGACGCAGGAGGAGGGAGGGGGTGCCGCCGCCTGCTGCCTGTGAGCCAACCATGGCTTCACATTTTTGAATGGTTTTTAAAAATCAAAAGAAGAATATCATTTCTTGACAGGTAACACATGAAAATCAAATTTATGTAAACACTGAAATTTGAAGGTCCATAATAAGGTTTTTTTGCTTGTTTTGTTAGAGAAAGGGTCTTACTCCATCACCCAGGCTGGAGTGCAGTAGCACGAGCACGGCTCACTGCAACCTCAAGCTTGCAGGCTTCAAGCGATCCTCCCACCTCAGCCTCCCATGTAGCCAAGATTACAGGTACATGCCACCTCTCAGCTATTGTTTTTTATTTCTTTGTAGATGGAGAATCTTGGAGTCTCGTTATGTTGCCCAGACTGGTCTTGAACTCCTGGCCTCAAGGGATCCTCCCTTGGTCTCCCCAAGTGCTGGGATGACAGTCGTGACTACCGTGCCTGTCCCATCAATAAGGTTTTACTGGAGTGCACGCATGCCCGTGTGTCTCCGTATCATCTCTGATGTGCCGTCCTGACCCTACCCCAGCAGAGCTGAGCAGCTGCGGCGGAGACTGTTTGGCCCACAAGGCTTAAATTATTTACTATCTGGCCCAACAGAACAAGTTAGCTGACTCCCGATCTAAGCCATTTCTTCCCTGTCCCTGAACTGATTTTAATTTAAGTATGAAGGAGAGGGGGAAAAACCAGCCTTTCACTGAACCGAAGCTATGTCACCCACAAGAGAGTTGCAGGGAAGACACGGATGCTCACTGGTCAGTATCTCGGCACGTGGACACCTAGGACCCCACGCTCCTTCCCCAGCACAAGGCAAGGCAGCCCACACCCTCGCACCTCGCCACCCACGCGGTTTTCAAAGCCCAGGCCGTTGCCCCACACAAACCTCTTCGGGACGTCGATGTTCCTGGAGACAGGCCTGTAGGCCAGGGCCTGGGCTCCGTGCTCCAGGGCTGCCACGTGGGGGACGGGGCCCTGCAGCTCCGCCAGCCACACTTCCTCCGCTTTGCAGCAGATCTGCAACTTCTGGTCCAACAGCCAGACGGTCACCTGGTCCTCCGCCCAGCTGTGCTGCTCCACCAGGCCTGCGCACTCCTGCCCCGCGTACCACACGTAAACCTGGGGAGGGGAAGCACAGCCAGCGGGTGTCACCCTGAGTTCTCATCTGCACCCAGTCCCTGAGGTCAGGGTGTCTGCCTGTGACAAACTGTGTCCTCAGACTCTCTCGTCTTCCATTCAAGCACACGTTCCCAGCTACCTGCTGCCCGTGCCCACCTGCTGCCCTGCATTGCTCTCACCTGCACTTTCCCTTCAGAGGACTCTGAGTCTGCCGGGGACAAGCTGGGAGGGGTGGAGGCAGGCTGACCCCACTCTAGGGGGTACCTGGAAGCTGGAGGTCACCTTCCCTCGGGGGAAGAGAGGCCTGGAGGGCACCAGGGACACCAGGGAGACAGAGTCCCTATTTGCGGGCTGTTGAGAAGGCAATGGAAGCAAACTCCATGCACCTGCTCTGGTAACATCAGACAACCCTGGGCCCTGCCACAGGGGAGGGGACGGTGGATAAGGATTCCCAACACCTTGGTCTCTCGAAAACGTCCAAAGGTAATCCAAAGACGCAATCTTCTCCGACTCTCACGAGCCTGAGATCCTTTCCCTTGCTTTGTAAAGTTGCAAACCGAGGGAGGCTAAGAGAAACTGAGCTATGGGCGTGATTCCGGCTGAGGTTTCAAGCAGGACAAAGCCCAGAACATCGGCTGCCAAGTCCTGCCACCTTCTCCTACGGACACCGTCTGGGAGGAGCCTGGGCCTGCCAGCAATGACATTCTCGTGGGCAGGGAGCCCCCGTGGCTGGAGGGAAAAGGTCTGCACGCAGCCTGGAGCCCAGAGCACTGCCAGCACCCCTGGCCTGCCAGCCCCGAGCCTTGCGAGATCAGACACCTGTCCGTGCTGCGGCCAACCTACCTTCTGCCCGGGCTGAAAGGCCACCTGCTGGAGTCCTGAGGTGCCGGGGGCCTTGAGGACCTCCTTGGGCTGCTCCTGGCAGGGGGTGTCCTCAGAGGCCAGGAAGGGCTGGGGAGCGGCCCCCTCCAGCAGCGGCTCCAAGGCTGGGGCAGGCCCCGACGGCCCGTCCGGGACGCTGGGCCCCAACACCCGGGCCCCCAGGAGGGACCGCTTCCCGAGGCGCCGGGACAGCACGCTGGCCATGCTGCTGCTCTCTGCGGAGGGAAAGGGGACACTGAGTCCTCCGCCGTCACCTGGAGGAACCGCGGAGCTTTCAGAACAAGCCCCACACGCAGCAGGAGCCCGCAGGTGTCCGTTAAAATAAACGAACATTTTAAAGTGACTTTTACCATTTCTCCTTTTTACAAAAGTAATATCCATTCCCAGTAGAACGTTTAGAAAATACCACAGGCACATAGAAAAACAAATCACTCAGGAACCTGCCTCCCAGAGATGTCCACTCTTCTTCTATGGTATTCCTTGTCTCCTTCTATATGCGTGGTTGCACACTCTTATTTCTCTAAAAATTGGAATGATCGTTTGGCAAAATGAATTTTCACTTAATCGCTAAGTTTTACTATGTCATTAAATGTTATTCGATAAGCAAGCATTCAGAAGCCACGTGGTATTTTCTTAGGCAGCTGCAACATTGCTAATTTAGCAAATCCCTATCCCTGTCGCTGAAGGCTGTATCAAACGCTCTGCGGTCTAAACGGCCCTGCCCACAGCCAGCAGCCCCTGAGCCAACCGCCTGCGCACACCCGTCGCTGACAGCTTCCTTGGGTGAACCTCCTGGTCGTGACATTGGGGTCAGAGCTGGAGCATCGGATGCACACAGATTCTCACGCTGCGCTGGCTTCAAACCCATAGAAACGGACCACAACACGCTCATCGTACAGGAGAAGAAACTAACGCTGAGAGCCTGAGTGTCCTGTTCACAGTGCCTAAGGGAAGTGGTGCCAGAGCTCAAACAGGGCTCTCGGTGGATCCCACCCGGGGACCAGGCTGTCCCTGCTCCCAGGCCAGGGCCTGTGGGTAAAAAGGGAAGAACAGACTCAGCATTTTGCAAACTCCTGCTGCAGAGCGCAGCTCCTAGGCCCCGAATCTCTGCTGTTCCAGATGCTCTGTTTGCTCCTGTCCACTAATTTGGTTAATATTCCACCAAGGGATAGACGTGTGCACGGCGCACCCCAGGGGCTGTGGCGCCAGGGCCCGCACACAGCACCCGGCATTCCAAACCAGTGCTGGCTTCTCCACCACCCCGCCACCCACGCCCGGCATCTCCAGAGACTGTTCAGTGACATTCTTCCTGCCCCCCTAACTCCACCCGTGACATTCACATCCAGAGGACACCTGTCAACATGGCTCTCGGCTCAAACTGTCTTTGGACAGTTCCATAAACCTTCTGTGCCTGTTACCTTCATCCAAAAGTGCCACAGGGCTTTGTTTGGGTCCCACGCCACCTCCCCGACCCACGAACCCTGGCCTCCTTCCGAACTATCCAGCAGGACAAGCTAGTGAACATCTCTCCATGGTTACAGAACAGGAATGGCAAAAAGGGACTTCAATGGATAGTAACAAAGTTGCAAATACGGAGCAAAGGGTTTTCAGGAGCGTTTTTACCCATGGCCTCAAAGGCTGGACTCTAACAGCACGGATATATCCACCCGGAGTTTCCTAGACAGCAAAGCAAAGCTCAGGAAGAGGGAGGAGACCTGGCCTGCAGACGGAGTTCCGAGCTAGGTGTCTGCTGATTCACACCCAACAGTGACTCAGAAAGCATCATTACAACAATAAAAAGAGAAACACAAGAAGTAGAGTCTGCAAAAAAACAAACAAACAAACAAAATATATATATATGCAAGCTATTAAAATAAATTGTTTTTAAAAACTCAGGAACCTACCTACCTTTGTCCTTGAAGCCTCAAGCTACCATCGAGAGAACCTGTCACTCTCGGTTTAATTGATCTCAACGACAGGGTCTAGAGGTGAAGCTGCAATGCCACATACAGACGTCAGGGGGCAGCATCAACCCAGAGGAAGAGGCTATGCTTTTCTTGGCAAAAAGAAAGAAAAAATAAAACCGGTGGCCACCCCCACCTTCCAGAGTCCAGAGCAGGAAGTTTGGGGTTTCTACCACTGAAACTGAAAAAAGGGTCGTATTTCCAAAATTCCTGGATTCCCAGTCTTTCGGACGGCGCTGGAAATGTTTGGTGATCAAATAAATCCTAGCTATGTTTTTGTAAGCCTCTCTTTTGTCGTTTTAATTTAAAGACAACTTTTTACTTTCTATTTTGTTTGGGAGCCTGCACCTTCCAAAGCCTGCTGGATTCGCGTCAAGTTGGTGAACCTGCCCTCTTCCGGCGGGTTCCCACGTGTCTGCCTGCACTCGACCGACCAGAATTCCACACCGAAATACGTTTTATTGTTGGTTTTATTTATAGTCCTCCCAAATCTTAATTTTTAAAAGCAGAAGAGAAAGAAGGAAGGGAAACTGCCTTTATTAAGTGCCTAATAGGCACTAGCTTTCATAAATTGTATCTAATTTAATCCTCAGCAGAACTGGGGATAAACAACATATGGTCTTTTATTTCTGATGCCATGACCATGCCTTGGACAGATTAGGTTGCTGAGACTACACAACTAGAAACCGGCAGCCTTGGGTTTGAACTCATGTCTGTCTGGTGTCAAAGGTCACGATCCAGCCATTACTCCAGTAGGAGTGGGATCTCTCAAAATAAAACACGCATGTTGCTTTTCATCAACATGGTATTTTTCCCCTCATGTTAGTGAACTTTGATAGAAAACAACAGTTCCTGGCCGGGCACGGTGGCTCACGCCTGTAATCCCAGCACTCTGGGAGGCCGAGGCAGGCGGATCGTTTGAGCTAAGGAATTCGAGACCAGCCTGAGCAACAGCAAGACCTTGCCTCTACTAGAAAATTGAAAGAAATTAGCCGGACAACTGAAAATATATAGAAAAAGTTAGCTGGGCATGGTGGCGCTTGCCTGCAGTCCCAGCTACTTGGGAGGCTGAGGCAGGAGGATCGCTTGAGCTCAGGAGTTTGAGGTTGCTGTGAGCAAGGCTGACACCATGGCACTCTAGCCCGGGCAACAGAGTGAGACTCTGTCTCAAAAATAAAAAAGAAAGAAAGAAAACAAGTACCTGATTGGAAAGTCTACATTTCCATTTCCTCATTCATTTTCATTCCTTGAAAACTCTACTCCACTCGCATCTTGGCCTCTTACCTACTAAATAAAGGTTTAAGCCTGACCTTCCTCCACAGTCCAAGTCACTGTTAATCATTTAAGCAGCCAGGTTTGGGAAGACCTTTACACACATATCGCCCTCAACCCAAAACGTTAGGGGAAACCTTAGCCAAGTCCATACCAGGAGTTAATAGCATGGAAGTGAAAATATGAAAGTAGACCGATCTAGGCGGGGAGGCATCTCCAGCTGTCAATCAACGCCTCTCCTGCCTCACCAGCCCGCTTGTTACGCTACGAGGCTGTGGGCCTGCTCTACAGATAACACAGTATTAATAACCAAGAGCCCTTCAGGGACTCGGAAGTCAATAAAAGCAACGGTAAAGGTCCGCCAAGGTAAACTCTGGGCCCAAGCGACTTTTCCCAGTGGCCTGCTATCTTAACACCTCTCACCGAGGGCCCTAAACTCCCCCTCTTGGGATGCTTCTACGGGTCCAACGGCGGCCTCCTCCAAAGCGCCCGTCCCGGTTCTCTTCTGCTCACTCCCCCGCTCGTTTCTTTCTTGGGAGCTATCGATGGTCCACACGCACCAGCCATCCCCTAGTCTGCCATACGGTTCCAGAGCAGCCAAGAAAAATCAAGAAACATCTAATTCTGAGTAACAACAACAGTATTTCGACACGCAGCCAAATCCCTCTTTACGATTTTACATTCTCGGCTTACGGAATTCCTTGACGGAAACACAAACTCGTGCTGAAGACTTCTCGGTACAGTTCAAAGGGGACCCCGAGCCCCTTGCTCTCCCCACCCCAACTGCTGTCACCAATAGGAGGGGTCGGCTACCCTAGAGGATGTATTTTGGTCAATGTCCAAAAGGGGTTAGCCCTTTCCAGGCTCCGCAAACATACCCTGATGTGCTAATAGCCCTTAATGAGGACATCTGCCGTCAGTTAAGTAACTGGAACAGGCAGGACAGTAAAACAAACTCTCTCTGCGGTGCGGAGTTGCACATTGCTATTTGTCATGTGGTGTTGCCGGACAACCACATGTCTCCTCCACACACGTACGTGCGTGCAGGCACTCACGCACAAGGGTTGCTCTCTCCTACCACCCAGAGACACCGCAGGCCATGAAGTCACCTAGCAGCACTTCTAGGACACGGGTCACACGTCAAAGTGATTCATTACACAACTAATAAGGGTTTTTTTTTTTAAATTAAGGAAAGTGAAGTTTGGAGCAAGCCTCCTCCTTGCAAAAGTGTGGGTGCTTGCTCCCTCTCTAATGAATAAATTATGGGTCAGGAGAGGGATATCAACTCTCTGGCAAGAGTTTCAGATTCTCTGCTCAACCGCAGCTTTCTGTGTATTTTATGACCTCCACCGGGTACTGCTGCAAGAACAACAGTTTAAGTTTTTAGTTCTTCGGTTAATATTTCATATATCTTTTCTTTTTTTTTTTTTATTTTGCAGACAGAGCCTCGATCTGTCACCCAGGCTAGAGTGCAGTGGCATCATTATAGCTCGCTACAACCTCCAACTCCTGGGCTCAACCAATCCTCCTGCCTCAGCCTCCAGAGTAGCTGGGACTACAGGCGCACACTGCCATGCCGGCTATTTTTTTCTATTTTTAGTAGAGAGAAGGTCTCACTGTTGCTTAGGCTGGTCTCCAACTCTTGAGCTCAAGCGATCCTCCTGCCTTGGCCTCCCAAAGTGCTAGGATTACAGGCATGAGCCACCTCACCTGGCCCATTCTTAATCTTTTATTAAAAATTAAAATCTGGGGCTGGGCGAGGTGGCTCACGCCTGTAATCCTAGCACTCTGGGGGGCCGAGGCGGGCAGATTGCTCGAGGCCAGGAGTTCGAAACCAGCCTGAGCAAGAGCGAGACCCCATCTCTACCATAAATAGAAAAAATTAATTGGCCAACTAACATATAGAGAAAAAATTAGCTGGGCATGGTGGCACATGCCTGTAGTCCCAGCTACTCGGGAGGCTGAGGCAGAAAGGATTGCTTGAGCCCAGGAGTGTGAGGTTGCTGTGAGCTAGGCTGACGCCACAGCACTCACTCTAGCCTGGGCAACAAGGCAAGGCTCTGTCTCAAAAAAAAAAAAAAAAATTAAGATTTGGGAGTACTATAAATATACCAAATAATAATCTTTTTTCTTTTAAATCTATATCATTTTAACTTGGAATTTTTTTCAGTGTGATGTTCTAAACTAACCCAAGGGCCAAAATGTTTGCAGCCAAGCACAGCTTTTATTTTATAACAGAACTCCATGGAGAACAGGATTCCCAAACAGTTCATTTTCAGCAATTCTTAGTCAACATCTCTGTTGACAGCTGCCACGCACACTTGCACGCATACTTATAAGTAAATGCAAACATGTTTATGGTCCTCTTGGTTTGCAGGTCACCACTGGAACCTTGGCAGGAGCAAGTTGTCACATCCCGTCATCACTACACAACTGGTACCTGGTGGTTCTCGAGACTTTATTTTTTCTTTTTCCCCTGGGGTGCCTTCCCCAGAGAATTTTGCTAAGCACACACAGACCCTTTCTTCACTGACGGAAAACCCCCTAGCAAGTGCAACCAAAGCTAAAACTTCCAGACCTCTGAAATCATGTATCCGGCCCTGCCACACCATTTTAAAAAATGGGTGTGGTGTGTACTTTAGATTTTCACAGTCCGAGCTTGAGATACACGGCACGGAGCACATTAGTGACCAATGATCCAATAGTTCTAAGCCAGCTGGCCAGAGAGTCGCAATTCAGATTCTCAGGGCATTCTAATTATCATGTTTTCTGACGGTTTCTAAAATCTGGATTACACTGCACCCGTGTATAACAGTTTAGACTGCCAGTAAAATTTAAACGGCAGAATATCAGGATTGACAAGGACCTGAAGGACTGCCCCACTCCCATTCGGGGCTGGGACCCCCTCACAGCATCCCCTCTAACTGCAC